GCCAATACATATTTATAATGCAGTCAAGAAGACATTATCTTTATGTTACACCTTTGGGCAAGAAATATAAACTGTCAAATATGCATTATGCATCCTTATTTGTATAGCTATTTCACAAAATTTACATTCCAACTTGAATCACATCTTTGGACAAGAGACTAAAGTTGCCTTATGAAATCATGAATACTATACATAGTTTGAACCAATATAACAAAACATATATATGTTTAACCTTTACGTTTATCACCAACATCCTTTTATCAATACAGAGGAAACAATATGATAATAGCCATAGCAATGGAATGCCAGGATCTATTAGTTGAATAGTATAATGATAAATAATTAGATAAGCCCTGATACTTAAGAGGGACCCACCGTTACTTTTCAGAGGTGTTTTAGACCTAGTTTGGGAGTGAGGTGCTTAAAAAAAAAGCACCCATGAAAAAAAGCTGTGAGGGTTTTAGGTGTTTGGTAAACTGAAAAAAAAAGGCTTATTTTGGAAGCTGCTGTGAGAATAAGCTGAAATCAAAGGAAAAAGCTGAAGCTGCTATTTGTAGCTTTGGAAAACTGGCTTTTTTTCAAAGCACACGGAGCTACAGTGCTTCTTTAATGAAAAGACCTACTATTAGACTACTTTTTTTTCCAAAAGCACTTTTACAAAAAAGTTTACCAAACACTCTGCTGATTTATTTCACAGCCGCTTATTCTCACAGCACAGCCGCTTATTCTCACAGCTTTTTTTCAAAGCACAGCTATACCAAACCAGCCCTTAGAATCACCGACGACAAGCCTTGATATAATCCCAGCGGATCTTGCACTCGCACAATCTCTGAGGCGACCCGAAATGCGCGTTGGCACGCCAACTTGTCGTGCAGCAGAAACCACATCTTTGTTACCTCTACCGGAAACATCATCGCCTCCGTCACCATGGTCAAGACCGACGCCATCAAGATCTTCGAGTTGTGCCATGGCTAAGGTTCGGCAAAATCCCTCAATTTTTCCAGGAGCTCTCTCTCCCTTGTCGTGTATCAACTTTCCTCTCTGTGGATGCTTGCCCCTTTTGTTTCTTGGGAGAGCTGAATGCTCTCACCTCTCTCACTCTGCTTCCCTCTATTCTTATTCAACCAAAAGCAACAACCTTTTTCTTTTCCCTTAAATTAAGGCACGGAAAGGCAGCCTATGCCTTTCATTCATCTTTGGTTTTTCACATTAGCTTTAATCCTACACCTGATAATAACTTCAAGAAGCAAGACCTCAAATAAACACAGCAAAAGCAATAATCTAATTTATACGTTGCCAGTAATCATTAAAAGAATCTATGTAGAGCTAGCCGAAGCTCTGATACCAAATGTTGGAATTTATAGTTAGCTACATGCATAGGTTACAACCTAATACAGGGGACAAAGAACATGCAAATCTGATAAAGCCATTAGTAAATGATCGAGGAATAGTCTTCTACTCAATGAGGACCTTATGTTCTCACTATAATAGAGCTAGTTAGTATATAAAGAACATGTTCCTCTTGAGCAGGGACTAAACCATTTTATAGACGTGTAACCACAACCGTTTCCACCTATCATAGAAACTGCTTGGCAAAACTGCACGCCCATTTCAAACTTGGGATATCCACTCACCAACATGTTTAACCTTATTGTCCTACTTTAAAGAAAGAAGAATTATTCAAATATTAGCTCTAACTAATTCCAGTTTCAACTAAACTCTAAACCTTAATGAGATAAGTTTAGAGTCCAATAAGGTTCCAACAGGAATTATATAATCTAGAAGATATATTTTCGATAAACAAATGTATGAGTAATATATTAGAAATATTAGATTTATTAGGAAATTTTCAAGTGTAGAAATCCTTTAGATATAGAAGATAACTTTCGTATGTACAACTGTATTACTATTCTTGAAGGACAAGTAATCCTTACCACGAGCTATTATAAATTAAGGAACAAGACTAGAAAGAAAAAAAAAGGTTGAGAAGGGCTTCCTACGAAAAACAAAAGGATATATTCTAGTTAGGGTTTAACGTACTGTTTCCTTTAACGAAAAACCATATTTTTACACTAAAAAGTCAATCTTGATACTATTCACTTTACTCTTTATTTTGTCTTTATCGTTAAAACTCAAAGTTTTCAAGCTATTTTTATTAGTTTTCTTATATTCTAGTAGGGTTTCTTCTGTATACCAGCCAAAACAAATTAGGTCATCCAATCCAAATCAAAGTATTAATCCAGATTCAAAAGTGACGATATATAGTTTAGATATGCGTAAAGATTTTGTACGTTTACCTTTTCGTTGTCTTTCTGTTTCTTTTGCTGCTGGAGATTCCTCCAAATTTAAGTTTTGAAACTCTCGGTATTCGACTGTTAGATAACTACTGATCATCATGTTGGATTTTGTGGCTCAATACTTCTTGGGCCTTTAGTTTTTTATCTCAAGCCCAAATAGGTTTGGCCTTTTGTTACCCATTTGAAAGCCACATGGTAGCTAGGTTTTGATTAAAAGACACCAGCCTTATATAAGGCAATTCATGCCTTTTGGTCAGTAGAGAGAGCAGAAACGCAGCGGCAGCAGAGAGTAGAAAAACAGAGCAGCCGACAGAGAAGAAAGTTGAGTGCTGCTGTTTTTTCTGTCCTCCATTTGTCCTAAACGATTCCGGTATTTGTGAGGATTTGTGGTTTGAAATTCTGTGCAGATTACCACAGCTGGATCTGGTGCGATTCAAGATGGTGTCCAAGTCATGGCATCGAATAACCTCCCAGGTTTGGTTGCGGAAGTTTTGGCTGCAGTCTCCAGTTTTAGGTATTTATTACTTGACATTAGTACACTCAGAGGATGAGTATCATTTAATCAATTATGCCTCCGTTAATTTTTGTCATAGCCACACATGCATGACCTCCGATCGTTACGTCGATTGTTGTAATGGATTACTCTTGTTGTTCACCCCGTGCGCTGATCAATTATGTGTGAGCAACCCCATCACCGGTCGTAACCTCTTTTGTGCTGCCTTGGCTTATGACCCTATTGAATCTAATCACTACAGAGTTGTTCGAATTAACTTTTCCCAATAATCCACTTCGTCAACCCCATCACCAACGGCTCTGGACATGGATTTTTATTGCAATATAGGCAATGGGTTCGACATGGGTTGCAACTCGACCCCATCTTTATCGAGGGTTTCAAAAGTTTCAAGCTTTGCAGGCAGTTTGTCTACTTACGTGGGGTGTTGTATAGCTTAAGCTAATTCACGGAAACTTCTGTCTATTGACCTCAATTCTATTAGAGTATTACTAGATCCACCTTATTGTCCTATTTTCCCAACCACCTTATAATCCACCGTAGAAATTTAAAAATACTTAATACTCTTTCTCCACCCACTTTTATTCCTGAAATACCCTAGATACAATTAACATCATCCGACTCAATTCAACAACAACCTCTTTCCCACCAGAAATATTTTTTTCTCTTTGGAAATTTGGAGGGGAAGGCCTTGACGTGGCCCATTTTGACTAGGAGTAAGATGAGCAACATCTACGGTTGAAGTTGAGTTTTATTATTTGTGAGTTCGATTGAGATGGAGGAAGGAAAATATTAGTTTGAAGGGTCAAGCCGGTGGAGGATTGCTGCCATCAAATTGGATGGGATGGGTAGCTCATGGATGTGGGGAGTTGGTTGTTGGGCTCTCCGTTTTTCTTCTAAATTTTCAACTTTTCACTTTTTTTTTCTTTCAATTATGGAATTCAAAGGAATTGGGTCTTTCTGGGTTTTGCAAAACAAAGAGAAGAAATTGGTTAGAATTATGGATAAGAAGATTCGTGGGATGCGAGTTCTAGAGAGTGGAGCTGGACAGCGAGAGGTCTGAAAGAGGGAGGGAGAGAGAAAGGTTATAGATTATTTAGGTATTTACGTCATTTGACCTAGGGGTAAACATGTCATTAAAAATAAATTAATAAAGGGGTGGGGAAATAGGATTTTGGGGGTGGTATTAAAGGCCGTGCCTTGGAGCTTCCTTGCATCGCAGAGGATGTTGATGATCATACGGGTGCAATGATTGTTGAAGCAATATTAGAAAATATGAAAATAACACAAGAATTCCATTAATAATAATCATAAAAAAATTCACAACATCAATTTATGTATGAGATTAATATAAACAACCAGAGAGAAAGAAAGAAAAACTGACAAACTTGGAGATCGAGGCTTGCATAAATGCAATGTCCTAAAGATAGAATTTCGTGTCTACTCTTGTGTTTGTAGTTTGGTAGGCGTTCGTCTTCTAGGATTCAACAATCTATAATCCGAAGTCAAAACACTTCAATCTTTGGACTCTGGCGAATTTCATATATTCGGTACTCTCAAGACACAACTCGGATTTTTACAAAAACATTGGAGAAAATTCTTCTCTTTTAATTATGTTAGACAAGTGGGATGCTTGAGTTTATATAGAACTCAAGCCACCCTTTTTGAAACATTATGACTATTGCCTAAAGTTCCAATGAACAGATACAATTCATGAATTTGAATTCAATTATGACACATGACTCTTATTTTTCATTCATACAAAAATTAAATATTATAATATTAATACATTTGAAGAGACTCGGTTGCTAGGTATGTAAGTTTCTGTATGTGTTTAATCTGTTTCTATGGTTTTGTATTGTTGAACATTGTTTGCTTATACAGGTTTTGGTGCATTTGCAACTGTAGCTCTATGTCGGCACAAGGTTGATGGTTCTGATTATGCAGTAAAAAAAATACCAACCGGTCGATATGTCTCCTTTGATTATGAAAGAGTTCGAAGGTTTCATTTAGTTTTTTTATATATTCTATATATACTAAAACCCAAACATCTGATTACTGTTCTAGGGCAGTGTTCTTCCGTTTTTGCCCTTCAGTTGTTCTGTAAGTTTGTCTTTTTGTGTTTATTATACAGTAAAATGACGTTTGTGCCCCTGCTGTGCAATAGAAATCTCTCGATTTCTTCGTGTTGTGTGCTTCCAGGATCTTCCACTTTTCACTTTCCTCTTCTTTTATTCTCTTTCCGTCTCTCTCTCATCCTTCTCTTTCCGTTTCTCTCATCCTAGAACTGAAGAAAGATGGAAAATCAGGGCTCTTCCATTTGCTTCCACAGATTTCTCGATCTCTCTCGAGCTCCGGATCGCTAGCCTCTGTATGAAGGTTCGTCTCTCTCTCTCTCTCTCTCTCTCACTTTTTTTTTTTCAATTCGTGAGCGAATTTTTTTTCCAAGAATGTTACATCTGTTGCCTTCGGGAAGAAAGTTTAAACCTAAAAAAGCTTGGTTTTCAGGAAATCGTCAATCCTGCAGAAACCTTGGGTTTCCTGGTGAGTTCTCCAGCATATTTGTTTTGGGTTTGGTTTTTGAGTTCTCTTTTATTTGTTCAAATTTTTGTACTTTTAAAACCTCTCGGTGGGTACAGATTTGATCGGCTATTTCATCAGTTTTTCGATTCGATCAGGATCGGGTTTTCACCCACGAAATCTAGCGGCTTCTGGTAAGTTTCGTGACTTTTTCGTGTGGCTGTTTCGAATTTTGTTTTTGTGGTTTTCAATGTTCACATGGATTTTTTGTTTGAATTTTGTATTTGTGATTTTGCGGGTTGTTTTGAATTTACAGATGGCTTTTTCGAGGTTCGGTGAATTTACAGGGGAGAGGGAGAGAGAGGCCTGTTGAGGTAAGCTCTCTGCTAAAAGCTTCTAATTCATCCTTTATTTCTTTTTTCATCTGGGCAAAATTTTTGATGGATTTATGTTTTTTTTTTTTCCGTTGAATTCGAACTCGAATCTGAATTATGGATTCAGAAAAAAACAAATTGATGAGTTTTTTATTTGCGTGCATGTCGGTCCTATCACCGCATGATTTGATAATCCGACCGCGAAGCTAATCGTTTCTGTATGTTTTTGGGTTGAAGATCTGGACTGTCGAATGGAGAGGATGAAAAGCAACTGCAGGAAAGCGGCAATGGAGACCCGGCAGCAGCATATTCAAGTCGATCTGTGTAATCTCATGGCCTTCGACCCTCATCACAGCTTCCCCTCCATCCCCTTCTCTAAGTTATTTTTCTTTACTTATTCAATATATCTCTATTTTTTGTTAATATTTTTGTTTAGTTCTGGGCTTTTTGAAATTATTGCTTTTGAGAAATTAATTGAAAATTTACTTTTGGAAATTGGGATTTTATTTGGATTAATCCCATCAGTAAAGTGCCAGTCATAAGTGAAATAGTGAATTTATCACACTATGCTGATGGGTTTTTGTTCAGTGGGTGAAATTCTGATTTCTTTTTTTCATGGTATTTAGGGAGGAATTAGTGAAGAATGTATAACGAAAGGGACCGAGTTGGTTTAAGCTATTGCAAATGGTCTTTTCAACTCACATTCAACTGAAGACATAGACGGTCCCATTGTGCAGTTGTTTGCTTCCTGAAACTAAACTGCCAAGATAGAAGCATGTAAGTCATTCCTCTTAGTTTATGATTCTCCAACGTTTTTTTTTAATTTATTTTTTAGGTTTGATCATGTATATGAGCATTTGGTCAAAATTGAAAAGAAGTGGAATGGTAGTTTTAGGTAATTGTCGAGATTTTTGTTGATCCTCTTTTGTTGTGTTGCCAATTTACGGTTCCTATCATGTAAATTGGTTGACTAAAATGTTAGAGTATGCAAAAAGCCTTTTGCCATAACAAAAGGTAAATCATTACTGACACCGTAGGAGTTTTGAAACGTGTAGGTGGATCGTATTTGATTGAGAATAAGATACCGTGCATTATCGATTTTGGTATGAATGTTGGGGATGAGGTATATATCTTAAAACTCTTCTAAAAAAAAAGGTATATATCTTAAACCAGATTACTTAATTATAGTTAAATTAACTTCTTTTTTTTTCTTTTTCTGTTTTGAATCAGTTGTATATATCACCCAATTTACCCGTTCCTAAGCCTTTAGCTGTTTTTGTTATGAAATAGTTCATTGATTGCATATTGTTAATTTGATACATTCTGTTTGTGTTAGCTCAAATTTCTTCCTTTAAGAAAACCACTTGGTTGGTTTTAAGTTTTTCGTACTTTTTGTTGTTCTGTTTGCATAAAAACATGTTTTGCAAGCTTGGAGACTGATCTGAAATCATTTTTGGAGACTGATCTGAAATCATTTGGTGGATGTTTTTAATCCCAATTGGAGAAGACTCTTTTTGCTCTAAAGTTTGTTATTTGACAGAGATTGCAAGTCTAACATGGTGTTCTGTTGGATTAAGGATAACCTGAATACAGGACAACTATATAATATGATTCAAAATAATGAAATGTTGCACTCAACTGCCACCACATAAATTCAAATCTAAACTTCTGTCGTAAAATAAAATGCTAATGTAAATGGACACAGATAGAGAAAACCTATAATATAGAATTGGCTCTTCTTTCTCTGAAATGTATATTTTTTGAGAACTATTATCAATTAACTTATTTTTGTAATTCAAGCTATCTATAAACATCTTTGCGTTTTTGTAATTGTATTCGTGAAATTAAAACAATTTTGGACATCTTTGGTTTAAATTTTTATAAATGATCTGTGTTGGCAGTTTAGTTCACTCTTTTGTTATTTTTAATTGTATTATAAAGTTGAAATATGTGCTGGTTATAGATTTTGTGTTCCGCTATATAGTGGTTAAAAAATGAGATAATTTTCATGAATAAAATTTCTGCATTGTAGGTTTTCCCTTTGTTTCTATCAATTTACATTTACTTTCTGTTTTACTAAACAATTTTATACTTTGTTTGATAACATTGGTTTTCATGGCTTGCAGTTAAGGATTGGTACATAGGAAAACAGCCAAAGAATCCTGTTGTTAAATTGTCCATTCCTGCCAAATTTTAAACGGTGAGAGTGCAACAATTTTATTTTAAATATTTTTTCCTTATTTTACACTCCCATTCTCACAATATAATCTTTTTCTCACTCAGTGTAATTTCGTTGTTTTTTTTTTGTTTTCTTTGTAGAATTTCTGTGTGTTTCTCTCTCTTATTTTCACTCTTGCTCACAATCTTACAATATAATATTTCACCTTGGTCTTGCTCTTAATCTTACTGTGACTCACAATTTCATACTTTCTCATTACTTTTGTGGGGGTATTAAGTTACTATAAATTTTTGTCAACGTTTATTCATATTAATTGTTCCGTGGCAGAACCGGAGCGTGTGTTCTTTGCAATCTTAAGCCAGAAAACATGTGGAGTACTAAGTCAGAATGGTTCTTGCTGCTTCGGACAGCGGCCACACCACAGTAAGCAGCCCATAGACCTTTAATAGTTTTTGCATGATTATTCACTTTTTGAGTGACACCAAACAAAGGACTCTACTAATTTTAACTTTTGGTCTCCGACATGGTTTCAATTAAAGACGATTGTTTTTCACAACATAATGTTAAACTTGTTGCTGTAGAAGAGTTAATTTCTGGTAGACAGATGATTATAGTGTTGTTCCTATTATGCATAAGGTCTTGGTAATAATATTGTTCAGGTGCTTAAAGATTTGAATTTTTAAAGTGGTTCCACAAAACCTGTAAAGTGGTTCCTCAAAATCTGCACAGTGGTTCCACAAAACCTGCAAAGTGGACGTTATGTTGCTTGCAGCAATAGATTGTTCTTTTCTGTTTAAGTTGTAAGCTTTGTTTCCCCTTGGTAACAAGAGACCTTGCTCCGTACAAAAAAGACTAGGTAACTATTCTTTATTATTGGTTGTTTCATGCTATGAATCTATATAGTATAAAAAATTTATTACCGGTGATAAATTTGGCATGTGTTATCCAAAACAAATAAGTATTGGATCACATTTTTGTGTGTGTAAATAGTTGATCCAAACATGAATTATCAAGGCGGAATACTAGGTTAACCATTTTTGTATAATAATGATAAGGCATTTGATAATGCCTTTTTTTGTAAATTATATAAACTTCAACAGCTTTGTAAAAATATTTATTCCATTTTCTGTTTAGTATTTATAACATTTTGCATATTTACATGTTAAAAACATAATCTATAGTTATATTTTCGCTCCCGCAACAACGTGCGGGTAAAATTTGCTAGTAACTTTCTATTTGTATTTGTTATGGTTTATATTTTTATGTTTTTTGGTTTCTTGGTTATTTTGTGGGAGGTCGATTATATGTCTAAACTAAACCATGATAATATTGTTAGATACAAGACTGTAAGCTCTCTGTATATTGTATTTTTTTTAATGATTTTTATGTTGTTACTTTTTAATTGACCATTGATCATGTATTAGTCATTTGTCGATGGTATCCCTCGAATCTACATTTGCAGAATCTGATATTTCAGAAGAAGATGTTAATCCTGACCAGTGCCATTGTTTGTGCATTGTTCAGGAGGTCTGCGATGGTTAAGTACAATAAATATTATGATTAGTTTGTGATTTTATGTAAAGAATTTTGGTTTAAAATGTGTCTTAATCTGTTATTGTCTTAATCTATTATTGTTTTAATATGTTGTCTTAATATGATAATTTGTATTGCAAGGACTCTTGGTGATTATATTGGTAGTGGTCATTTGAACAACTTCTGTGCTCCAAATTACTGAAGGCTTTAGCTTATTTGAATTCAAATGATATCGTCCATGATGATTTAAAGGCAAATAAGCTAAAGCCTTCAATAATTTGTTTTAGAAATTGTAAACGTTTTGGAACACACAAGTTGATCAAATGACCACTAGCAATATAATCACCAAGAGTCCTTGCAATACAAATTATCATATTAAGACAACAAATTAAAATAATAATAGATTAAGACAATAACAGATTAAGACACATTTTAAACCAAAATTCTTTACATAAAATCACAAACTAATCATAATATTTATTGTACTTAACCATCGCAGACCTCATGAACAATGCACAAACAATGGCACTGGTTAGGATTAACATCTTCTTCTGAAATATCAGATTCTGCAAGTGTATATTCTAGGGATCTTTCACCAGGAAAGATACCATCGACAAATGACTAATACATGATCAATGGTCAAATAAAAAGTAACAAAATTAAGTGTGACTAAACATAACCAGAGCGTAGGTATCCTAGGTGCAATTCAGCAGGACAAATATTAATTATACAATACTAAAGATGGCCCTACAATTATGATTGATTTGTCATAACCACCGTCAAATCCTCATGAGCCATCAACGAGCACTCCTACCTAAAACCTGAAGGGCTCAAAATAGAAAGTGTGAGTGGGCAAAAACAAAGCTTTTTAAAATCATTTTACTATCAAAAGTAGTAATCCTTCGCTGTAAAACCTGTATAATTCCCAAAAAATAGCATATATGATTATATCTCAGAACCAAATTCGAAATGACAATTCTATAAGATACCATGTCAAATCTCAACAAGAAATAAGTATGCCAAGTGAAATAAACCAATAGGAAATGGTATGCCAGCCGAAGTCACCTAACGTGACCTGTACGATTGGGTTTGTAACTCATTAACTAGTTATCTGCACATAAGTCGGAACTACCTAAAGTGGTCTGCATGACAGGCTGAGTGTAAATAAATACGCTCAAGTGCTATTGTCACATGAAGGTTGTGCCAAGTATCGCAAGTCACTTATAAGTCAAAACCACCTAAAGTGGTCTGTACGATAGGCTAGCACTTACCTTGGATCCAAGGTGAGCGTGTGGTGCGAGAGGTGAACCATCACGTGAAGGCTAGACCCTGTCATCGGGTGGAGCACTAACACCGAAGTGCAGGATAACAATCTCTAAATGCATCTCAACACAATTACTCACCACCATCACTATCATCAATATACTCACCTGAAGTTTACCTGAGCGTCCACAGCGTCGAGCCATAATATATACGTAACCATGATAATGCACAACTAAACATAGAGAGTATTTGACATGACATTTCAAAGTATCAAACCATTTAATTAAGTTTTATGGGAAAAATACCAAGTGTATATATATATATATATATATATATATATATATACTGAAAACCAAAAGCTCACTCACTGATATGTGGAAGGGTTGTAACCCCCGAGCCTTGCTTGATTGCGCTTGTCCTCAAGGTAGGTCTCACCTATATGCGAAACAACTATTTAAACGTTATTTTAAAGAACATAACCAAAACTAGGTAATAACTTCTCATACATTGCTCAATTGGGGTATTTGAATATACCACCAAGACCTACTCAACCTCAAGAACATCCCTATATTTTTAGAAAAAATTTCCAACCACTCACGCGCTGGCTAAGGCACGGCAAGACACGCAGGCACGTGTCTGGCACACCAAATGGAATCCCTAATGGCTTTAGGGAATATTCCGTTAAATAAAAACATATGCCGTTAAATATACCTGACGCCGTTAGCATATTCCGTCAACTTTGAGGGAATATTCTATTCCTTCAATCTCAGCTCGCCGAAGTCCGATGCCGGTGACCTCTACAACTGCCAGTTTCTGGAAAAACTTCTAATCGTCATATCTCACTCATTTCAACACCAAACTTCACGAAATTTAAACCAAAATGAAGCTTAGGATGAGAGGAACAAAACCTTACCACTTTTAGGTCCTAAAACTTAAGGGATCTCGCTGGAAAAATTACGATAATTCGGCCACCTCTGCAACTTGATGAACTTGGATTTTCCGACGTCCAAAACTTTCAAAATCCTTCCCTAAGCTTCGTGAAGCAGTTCTAAGTCTCACTAGAACCTTAAAACTCGATGAAACCTCCGTGATCACGACGGAATCATTGTGCACCTCGTCGGGGGTTTTTGGTTCTCGGGTTTTCGAGGGCCTCATGTCCAACCAAAACTACAACTCGACTCCTGAGCTTGAAAGAAGCACGAAAATAACATCCACAACCTCGATCCGTGAAATATGATGAGAGCTGAAGGCTTGTCCGTACAATTGTACGAACGAATGGAAAAATTCGAGAGGGAGAAGAGAGAAAGTCAACGGGAGAGTATGTGTGAGGGTGTGTGTGGTCCAGCTACCAAACAACAACAAAAACCATTAACTTTACATTCCAAAAACTTAGGAATAAATTAGATTGGTCCAAAACCTAAGTTTAAACCACACCACCATATAATATACTCAACGTCCAATGGTATAATCAACATTCCACGCAATCGAAGACAAAAATAGCTTATTTTTCAGGACGGGCTGTCACCTGGAATGAATGGAAAAAGCATCCAAGGAAAAATGATATTGCAATATGACCTAGAAATCAAAATGTATATGATATATTTAGACAAGAATGTAGTCAATTAAAAGCTAAGAGACAAATTAGGAAACAATTTTATATGAGCTATAAAAATATAAACTTACCACAACAGTATGGTTGTCATAAGAAAAATAAACATAAGAAAATATACTGAACGAAATATAAGTCATATAAACCATACAATCATCATAAGAATTTTAGCATAAGACTTTCAAGAATATATAGGAAGAGAAAACATATTCCAAAACAATTTAGGAAAAGAAGTGACAGATCTTGGATTAAAAAATTTAAAGCACCAAAAGATAAAAGTAATTGTGAATGTTATCTATGTGGAGAAATTGGATATATTAGACCTAAATGCCCAAAATTAGGAAAACAGCCGAGAGATAAAGTATATTTAATTGAGTTGTTTAAATTAGAAGAAGAAGAATATATTTAGTCAATATATAGTTTAGATGATTTAAGTGATAACGAGTGACACCCCGTCCCGAATGAGGGCATGCTGGCCGTCACGTGAGAATGACGTAACCATTTACACAGTTCGGAAGCTTTAAAGATACAATTACTAAGATGTAACACCCGAGGTAAGTCTTACTTTTGTGAATTCTGTCAGAACACCGTTGGATTCCTCGTGGCCACCAAAACTCTGCTATCTTGAACATGGAGGGGCGTAAAACAAAGTTGAGTGGGTCAGTAAAACAAAGTTTTTCGAAAATCATCTCATTATCAAAACACTAACCCCTCGCTGTAAAACCCGTATACTTTCCCAGAAAATAGTATATACATAACCATATATAACAAACTCAAATCACCAGTCTTTAACACCTTTCAAGAAATATGCCATGCTATGCTTTAAAACATAATAAGGATGTATCAATATAACAGGTGAAATAATGAATCAACTGAAGACCATGCAGCTGTCCTGTACGGTTAATTCTATAGCTCAATATCCAATCCAACCGAAGTCACCACTGTGACCTGTACGGAACTACTCTGCACATAAACCGGAACTACCTGAAGTAGTCTGTACGACAAGAATGGTGTAAGAATACGCTCTAGTGCTTCTCTCATCAACAGCTGTATAACAATCTAAAGTCACCTACAAGTCGGAACCACCTCTAATGCTCTGTACGACATGTCGAAACCACCTCTAGTGATCTGTACGACATGCACCTACTTGGATCCAAGGTGAGCGTGTGGTGCGGGGTGAATAATATAAGCACTAACACCAGGAGTGCAGGTTATGAGCTCTCAACACAATTCACATCATCAATAATCACATGAACAAAATAAAACTCACCTGATACTCACTTGTGCGTCCACAACACCATTTAACATATATGCATCAAATATTAATTCATATATTTCATATATTATGTATGCATGACATTTAAAACATACTTTCATTTAAATTAAATTTCTGGGAAAAATCAATAGTATATAGGTATATACAGAAAATAACTGCCCACTTACCTGGAGTTCACCCTACAACTCCCTAGCACAACACATCAAGGCGTCATGATGATCGGCGCCTAGAACAATCATCAAATCAAACCTCAAAAATCATATCGATAGAATATATAATTTATATAAAACACGTCACTACGTAGTTCGATCCGGAAGATCTGCAACTCAGATTTCCAATCCATAACTTTCAGATGTCCATAATATATCTCTAGAACATCCTAAAATTTCCTTACCATCCAACGGTCGGATCTTCGTCAATTGTCAAAACCAAGTGACGGTTAACATTCTATTTCATGAACTTACAACTCCAATTCCGGAAGATCCGTAAATCGGATTCCCAATCAGTAAGTTCCTATAATCCTCAAATATTACGTATTACAACGTATCAAAGTTTGGTGACAATCCAACGGTCGGATCGTTAATTCACATTTTCACCTAACCACGAATCGTAACGAACTTAGGTTCAATTACCCAATTTACGTCAATCAATTATCAAAACTGAACCTAGAACATTAAACACATGCTAAGAATGACATTGGCGGGCCACTGGCCACGCACCACCGCACGGGCCGCCGCGGGTGGCGGTCGGCCATCCCGGCTCGCCGGAAAATTCAACTATTTCTAAAAATTACCAAAATTTGTATATTTGAAGATCTCAATGATTAGAACAACTTTCATACTTGTGACCAAGGTCAATTTGGCTTGGAAGCACTTCAATTTCACCAAAATCCGTGCGGACCCTAGAATTTGGTGTGCTTCGATTCGACCTCCAAACTTGTTCCAACGCCTCCACCACTACTTGGGCTTTGTTCCTGGGTTCTAGGAAAGTCTAATGGTAGTGGTAATTGAAGGAAAACGTTTCACAAGTGGTGGATTTCGAGTAATGTTCTTCACGGCACCCACTTTCGGTTTTTGAATAAATTACTACCAAATTCCTTCTAATTTTGAATGGGAATGGAAGAGGGAAGGCTAGGAAGTTTTTTCTAGGTCGTGGTTCGAGACAATTCATCGAAAAGTGGCTGGGAAATAGGTGAATTCGGCCTTGGAGCTCAACCGGGTCGCGCGGGTCAATAAGAAGACCCGGCTGTTCCCCTCATTTTCCTTCTCCCTCCTTTCCCTCCTTCCCCTTTTCTGGTTGGCTATCCTCTCCTTCTCTCTTCTCCTGATTGGCTAGCTCTCTCTCCTTTCTCTCCCGGAGCTCCTGCTTTCTTCCTCTGGTTGGGTAGCTTTGCCCAATCTCTTCTTCTTCTTATTCTCCAGTCACACACACACACACAAAACCTTCCTTCATATTTTTTTTTCCTTCGCTTACATCCGAGCCATCCATTTCAGATTTCCTTGGCACACCAAATTTTAATAATAAAATTCATAAAATGCCCAAACTTCAAACTTTAAAATCTTTTTCGTTATAACTCCAAATCACGAACCGTCTGTGCCCACGCTTCCGTAGCGACGAGTACTACGAGGATATGTCAAGAAAACAAATCTTAGATAGCATGACACAACGATTAACCTCGAATAATGCACGTGCCTCAAAGGGCATTTTTGTAAAATTCTTTATTAAAACTTTAAAAACTCTTAAAATCAAGGACGGGTTGTCACAACGAGAGTATTTATAGTATAGAAAGTATAAATACGATAGATTCAGACTCGAAAAATTCAAGTAGTTCAAATAATGATTTAGAAGGGTATATTTGTGCATTCATATAAGAACAACATGAAGAAGAGTACAAATACATTAATTTAGGTTGGCCAGAAAAATGTCACAAGTGTAGTAAATTAGTTGCAAATAAATACTATAATATATATTCAATATTGTGTGAAAAATGTTATAGTAATAGGTTATTAGAAATTAATTCAGCAGAATCACAAGAAAGTACTGAACTATTAGGAAATATTGTTCATAATATAGAAAAACCAAAAAATAGTTCCTTAATTACCATAAATTGTGAAATAAAATTAGCAAAAAAAACACAAAATACAAACAACCATGATAGATACATGAAGTACAAAGAGTGTGATAAGAGACGAGTTAGTTCCGGAAAAATATAGACAAAAATTAGCAAAACCAGTTAAAATAACACAGTTTGATAAACCAGTTTATTTAACATATTGCATTAATAATGAGTCTATTAAAGTAGAAAAACAACAATTTAATTTACCATTAACATTTGTTTCACTAGTAGGATCATACCCATTCAGTTTAGGTTTAAACTTTTTGAAAAGTTTGCAAAGTTTTTTATTTATGAATCCTAACATAACATTTTTTAAGAAAGGTATTATAATAACTGACCAAATTAATATTGAAGCATACAAAAGCATAAGTATAGAAAAGTCTAATGGCCAAACTAGTTATTATTTAGAAAACTCAAAAGAAAATGATGAGCATAATAACATAGAAGAGTTTGATGAAAAAATATTTGAACATGAATATCCAATTTTAGAAGAAGGAACCAGTATAGAAATATTATAGTCAGATAGACCAAAGAGTTTAGAAGAGTGATTACAATTAGCAGAACAAACTAGAATCATAGGAGAAGATCCACAATTGCATTGGTGTTAAAATAAAATATTAGCAAAAATAGATATAATTAACCTAGATTTAACCATTAAGACAGCTAATATACCTTGTAGTTTATTAGATAAACAAGAGTTTTACAGCAAATAAAAGAGTTGTTAAATTTAAAAGTAATTAGACATTCAAAGTCTAAACATAAATCAGCAACATTTATCGTAAGAAACATTCAGAACTAAAGAGATAAAATGTTAGAATAGTTTATAACTACAAGAGGTTAAATGATAATATATATGAATATAGTTATGAGTTACCAAATAAGGATGAACTTATAAATAAGATTCAAGAGAGTAAATATTTTAGTAAATTTGATTGTAAATTTTTGGCAAATAAGATTAGCAGAAGAATCAATTAAGTGGACAACTTTTACTTGTCCATAATGACATTTTCAGTGGTTTGTTATGCCATTTGAACTTAAAAAATGCTCCATCGATCTTTCAAAGAAAGATAGATCAAATTTTCAAGAAATATGATAATTTTTGTAATGTTTATGTATATGATATTTTAGCACATAGTAAAAATAGAAATGAACATAGCAAGCACTTAGAGATAATTTTACAAGAATTTGTCAATAATGAAATTGTGATTAGCAGAAATAAAATAGCATTAGAAATGCAAGATATAAAATTTTTAAGAATGTATATTAAGTCAAGTACAATACAATTACAAGATCATATAGTTAAAAAAGTCTTAGATTTTCCAAATAAGATAAAAAAACAATTGCAAACATTTTTAGGATTGTTAAATTATGCAAGAAATTTTATCCCTCATTTAGGAAGAAAAATAGCAGTATTACATAGTAAAACTAGTAAAACAGGATACAAGTATTTTAATAGTGAAGACATTAAATTAGTCCAAAATATAAAAGAATTACTTTAGTCTAAAGGAAGCATTGCAATTGACACTGTTATTTACTGTTCATTGTACCTGGATTTACAGTCAAGAAAATGCCCTTTGATTTCACCTTATTTACAAGAAAGCCATCTAATTTGGGGCTGGGTTGGAGGGTAATTATGAAAAGATAGGAGGGTAATTTTGTGCGTGAGATTTGGGTGCCTGCTATACACGTGTTGGGCTGACCATTACATTGGGTTGCATTCGTGGGATCGACGGCTGTGTGGTGGGATTTGGTGAGGGGATGGGTTAGAGTGAGCCTTCAGCCAACTTTCTGGCTTCATTTCCCCTTTCTCAAACCCTAGCAGCCACAACACCATCTATGGAATAGCATCGGCTTTTGCTTCCTAAAACCAAAACTACACAAACTCGGCTTTATTTCTGTAACTCGAGCTTCGGTGAGATGAAGGAGAAGAGCAGAGAGATGGGCTCGAGTCGCCGGGCGGAAGAGATCTTCAGGGATTAACGGTACTCCGATCTCTCTCTCTCCTGTTTCTCTCTCTTAATTTCCTTTTGGTTTTGCAAATCTCTGACCTTTTGGGTGATGTTATTTTCTCATGTGGACAGAGAGAGAGAGGTCGAGCAAGGTTTCGTCGATTTCAGTCAACTTGGGCTACCCCCAACGTCCAGTGAGGTAGCAATATCTTCCTATCCTCACGCTTCTCTGGTTTTCGCTTTGATTTTTTTATGGAAGGTTTGAGATTTCTTTAATCATACAATCAGCTTGCCCTTAATTATTCTTTCACTATATTTGACTGTTGTAGTCCTCTTTTAGCTACTCAAATGACACATTAAAAATCCCAAGAATTTTTTTCTCACTCTGTAAGACAAAAAGGTTTCGAATCGGACGATTGGAAGACAAAAAGGTTATAATTGTTATGACTGGATTGAGCATGGTATGTTTAATTATGCAGAGGGAAATGATTTTACATCTATTTGTTTGTAAATGTGATTATATTCCTGGAATTTTTCTTTTGATAAAACTAGTGATAAGAGCAGAGAAATTCGAAGCTAAACACCGATTAATTTGGGGAGACAATGCCTTGGAGAGAAGAAACAATTTTAACTGTTCTCCAAGTTATAGTGTTGTGTGGTGATTTTGGATTTGAACTGAATGGTGATGAGTTGTGCAGGAAAAACCACTTTCGTGAAGAGGCATCTCACTGGTGAATTCGAGAAGAAATACGAGCATAAGAGACATTTCTGACATTTCCGTCCATTGCGCCGTGTTGTTAGTTTGTTGTTATAATTAGTTTGACCTTGATATGTTTGCTTATACTTAACATTCATTTTCTGTTACTTTTCTATGCAAACAGCCACCATTGGTGTGGAGGTTCATCCACTGGACTTCTTCACAAATTGTGGAAGGATCCGCATTTACTTCTGGGACACTGCTGGGCAAGAGAAGTTTGGCGGTCTTCGAGATGGTCGCTAGTAAGTGAATATTTTCCTGTTGCTTTTGTTCTTCATATTTCATATCCACATTAAAAATCATTTGATACCTCACTGATTTTGTGTATATTTAATGTCTCCCAAAGCATTTTACAGTATCTTATAACTTCTTATATATGTGATTACCTATCTGAGTTATCTGCCCTTTCACTGTGCTGCTTAGTTGATGGTCTCATCTAAAATTTTCCGTTGAAATATGCAGCATTCATGGGCAATGTGCAACTACAACTTAGAAACCCTCCTCTACTTGGCAAGGAAGCTTGCAGGGTAATTACAAACATTCCCTTTTTTATTTGGTTGCTATAGCGTATCGATAATAGTAATTGAGGTTAACGCTGCTGTTGTTACTTTAGTGACGCAAATCTTCATTTCGTCGAGTCTCCGACCCTTGCTCCTCCAGAAGTGCACTTTGACATGGCTGCCTAACAATAGTAAGTATTTTGTCTATGTTAATAAACTTGACTCTTCTTTGATGTTAACGTCGTGGATTCAGCATGAAGCTGAAAATTGTCTCATCTCGGTTATTATTGCTTCTTGCAGGCATGAAGCTGAGCTTGCGGCAACAGCTGCCCAACCTCTTCCTGATGACGATGACGAGGCATTTGAATAGACGGGGAGATGATGCATTTCAATATACCGTGGCATATTTCTTCTAGGAGATGGCTTTCATTCATTCTGTCAAGATTTGATTTTCAAAGTGTCATGTCTTAGAACAAAGGGCCTCTTTTAGTCAGATTCAACTACAGCTACTATTAGGTATTGTTTATTATTGGTTGTGCAATTACATGTCTAATTGTCCCCCTTTTTTTTTGTTAGGTGATCTATCATTGGTTGTGCAATTACATGTCTAATTGTCCCCTCTTTTTTTTTTGTAAGGTGATCTTTCAATGGGAATTTCAAGTCATAATTCTAGCCTATCTAAAGGTGATGGAGGAACATATAAGCATGTCAGCTCTTTGGAATGCTCTTCTGATGAATCTTCGCAGGGTAAGCGAGTATGCAGAAATTTTTTTTGTTTGTTTTGAAATTTATTTTTTTCAATGTTTTTAGGTTTAATTTGTATCTGTTTTGGAATGATGTTTAAGTTTATTGAACGTATTAGGATTCGGTATTATTGAGTTGTTTGAATATGAAGAATCTCTTGACATAATTGGTTAGTATTTTTATTTGTTTTCTGTATTAGCTTTTTTTTTTTGGGTAATGTGAGCTTCTATTAACTTTTGTGTTCCATTCAACTCTAAATAAAATTAAATGTCCGAGATTAGGGAAGTTAATTGCTGACTTAAAACCTGATAATGTTTTATTGCTTGATGATACTTGGGAAGTCACTGATTTTGGTTTAGGTGAGTTTTGTGGTTTTATATGTTTTAACATAATGCATGTGAGAAATCTTTTGTCTTTGTTGAAATGGAAGAAATTTCTATTGAAGACTTTTCTACGAAAAAGTTCATTTATGTTTTTCGTAGTCTTTTGCATAAGTGAACAATTTGGTAAAGATAATGAAAAACATAACTGAACTTTTTCGTAGAAAAGTCTTCAAAAGAAATTTCTTCCATTTCAACAAAGACAAAAGATTTCTCACATGCATTATTCTAAAACATATAAAACCACAAAACTCACCTAAACCAAAATCAGCGACTTTTCAAGTATCATCAAGCACCAACACATTATCAGGTTTTAAGTCAGCAATTAACTTTCCTGACCTCGGACATTTAATTTTATTTAGACCTGAATGGAACACAAAACTTAATAGAAACTCACATTACCATGCTAATACAGAAAACAAATAAAAATACTAACCAATTATGTCAACTGATTCTTCAGATTCAAACAACTCAATAATTCTGAATCCTAACATGTTCAATAAAGTTAAACATCATTCCACAGATACAAATTAAACCTAAAACACTGAAGAAAAAAAAATTTCAAAACAAACAAAAGATTTTCTGCTTACCTTACAAGATTCATCAAAAGATCTGTCATGCTTATATTTTTCCTCCATCACCTTCAGATAGGCTAGAATTATGACTCGAAATTCCCATTGAAAGATCACCTTACAAAGAGCTGCCATGCTTATATTTTCCTCCATCACCTTCAATTACCATTAGGTATTGTTTATCAGATAGGCTAGAACACATGACCTTTTAAGTCAGATTCAACACAGCGCCTATTTCAGAGCTTAGGAACAGAAATTTGAAAAATTATACGTTTGAAACACAGGGCCTCTTTTAGTCGTTTCATTCTTTTCTGTAATTTTTTAACAATTAATATGGACTGTTGAATTTTAGAAAGTTTGAAATCCAACAGCCCAAAAGTGGACACGTGGCCAACGGTAAGATTTCTGACATTTTTTAATGTTTTTTGGCCTAAAAATCTGGACCGTTGATCAGGAAATCAAACGGTTCAGATTTTGACACATCACTAACCGTTAGATTTCAAATTCAATTTATTTTTACTGTTGGAAATCCAAACTATCCAGAAAACTAGCTGTTCGAAATCCAACGCCATTGCCGAGCCATGTAGCCAAATTCTGGCATTAGTTAGGGCGCTTGCAGCGCGGGCCTCACCTCTGCGAGATGTTGGGAACGCATGATCACGCCCGCGTGTTTCCCATGCGCCAGTTGCAAAAAAACACTCGACTCGTGGTTGACGTCAGATGGGCTAGTTCCTCATTTTGCAAAAAAAACATTCGACCCGTGGTTGACGTCAGATGGGCTAGTTCCTCACTCGGTCCATTCTTGCCCGGCCTAGAAGCTAGAGTGAACTTTGGGCCAACATATTTGGTGGGGTGGAGTGGATTTTTGGGGGGCTAGGCTATTTTAAGGACTTTCAGCTAGCCTATTTGGATGGGTGGACTTGCTATAATGAAAGTAAGATTACTTCCGGAAGAAGATACTTGAGATTCCTTAAATAGCTTTAAAATATTAATTTTTTGAACTAACATGAATTAATGACTTATCATCTAAATAAAAGTTTAAGGTGATGAAAAATGGATAAAGTTCTAAGAAAGCCAAATGAAGCATTTCTCTACATTATTACAAGCTCAAAGATAAATACTCACGGACGTTTTATTCATAATCAAAACATTATATGACTTGAAATTGAAATATTATTGCTTCAATTATCTCTTTTGAACAAAAAAATATCTAAATTTGTATCTTTTAAGAAATATTTAGAGCATCTCCAAAAAAGATGTCAAATATAATATATCAAAATTTTATTTGATGGCTGATGTGGCAAATTGAATATAAGTACTAAATCCTCTTCTTTGTCAATAGATGTGTCAGATATTTATTTTATTAGGCCTAGTGTTGCATTAACTGTTAAAAAATAATCAAAATTAGTTTTAGTTTTTATTCTATTGGATGTTAATGGGATCTATGCATTAAAAAATTAAATTAAATTAATTGACTCCTTTGTTTGCTGTCAAAAAGACAGCTAGAAAGTAAGGAGTCAAATGACTCACATGTCATATTATATATGACATATCCATTGGAAAACACTTGAATGTCTTTTAATTATATTTGGCATATTTGACATTTCTTTTGGAGATAATTTGAGATGTATCTAAATATGGTACATAATAAGGGAATTGGATCCTCTCTAAGGCAAAGCCTCGAGATTCTCTAGATTGAATAACATAGATCATTAGATTTTGACTCAACAGCTACAAACAGGGGGTTCTTTAAAAGTTATAATAATTATAGCTGTTAGATTTGATCCAACGGTCTGTGTTAGTCGATCAGAAGAATCTCGAGACTTTGCGGAGGATCCAATTCCCGTAATAAGTACGTAGGCCAAGCCTTCGAGGTGACTTGAAGCCGCCTTCGAGCTGACTTGAAGCTGCCTTTTCGAGAAGCACATCCAATCGTCGATGTTGGCTCCCAAGTATATGTCAAAAATGCCTCTGAGAGAAGAAAAATCTTCATTTAGCTTCATGTGTATTTTAATTTTTAGAGGAAATTTTTTCTTTACACCTAAATTTAGCCTCTCGACCCTCTTATTTTCTAAAGATCTAATTTACCACAAACATTTTTCTGAACAACTAAAATAATTTATTAAACTTATGAGAATTACTTTATAGATTATGAAGACTTTCACCTATATTTCTCTTCCTTTGTGTCACCCTCTTTTCACATATCAAACATATGAAGACTTTCAGATAATCAAAGGAAGTCACCATTAGATAAGCAAAAGGTTCTGATGAATTGAAATGAGTTTTTTGTTTATGTTTGGAAATTTTCTTGATGGAGAAGATGATTGGGTTACAACGGGAGAAATAAAATCAGGGTTTCAGGGTATGATGATTTGTTCGCAAAGAGAGGAGAGAGTGTTGCTGCTCGAAATAAAAGTTGATGTTCTTGGGCGACGCGAGCGTGACACAAGCGTTGGGATGGTGGTTAGCTGTTGGGGTGATAAGTTATGAAGTAATTAAAGATATATGAAATGAATTATATCGTTGGAAAGAAAAAAAAAACACGTTAGAAGACTTCGTTAGATTTTATTTTCTTTGATTGAGCCAAAATTCAATTGTGATATAGAATGTACTAGCAACGGTGCCAGCGCGATGCTGCGGGTTTTAAAACTGTATAAAATATGCAGAAAGTTCTAAATACATACAATATGCAATACTATTTACATGTAGAAATCTATTTACAACCATGGTTTGGCGGTTCTATTGCCATTGTTCTAATATTTACATCTTTTACAAATTAAACTCCTGTCCTTAACCGTACAAATTTTTTTGTATGTAATTTTATTTACATACAAAAAATAATATTTGATGTGTATATACATACTATTTACACACACAAATTTGGTAGATTGTCCCTATTGATATTCTCATGAAATATGCAAATAATCAGCCTATTTACCCAATCATAACAAAACAGTGTAGTTGCAATTGACTTTAAGTCATCAATAGAACAAAATACCTGAAGTCGAAGATAAACCTGATGAATGTAGAAATCTTCAAGCCCTAAACAGAGTGGCCCTGCTTTTTGCAACAAAACAATCCTTTTATTACAAAAAATTACAGGAAAACCTTTCAGAAGTGGAAACAAAATTAAGTCAAATGATTAGGGTACCATAATTTTCCTTGACCATACACAAATAAAATTTAAATTAAAAAGAAAAAATGAAAAGAAAAAAAAGCAATCTCAAATACACAGATTGAAAACTCATTAAACAATTTATTAAGCATATATAGGTTCACCCAACAGATGATCTTATTTAATCACACCATTTTAATTTATCAAATTGATTATTTAATACTGTCATGCTAAACAATTGTTCTGATAATACCCTCTCATCACACCATTTTAATTTATCAAATTGATTATTTAATACTGTCATGCTAAACAATTGTTCTGATAATACCCTCTCATCCCAGTACGATGAACAAAAAATTCTTCAATCTCTTGCATGTCCATTTCAATTCTTAAAACCGAAAGAAAATATTAAAGTTTCTTTCTTACCGAAATCTACCAATTTGAATCAAATCCACCAAAGAAGCATACATGTTCTTTCCTTGAATTATACATATATTTGAGAAGATTCAAATAAAGACTAAAAGGTCGTACCCAGTGCACAAGGCTCCCGCTTTACGCATGGTCTGTCAGAGGTAAATGTTGGCTAGCCTTATCCCCATTTATGGAGAGGCTGCTCCCAAGTCTCGAACCCGAGACCTACCGCTCATGGACAAAAGCACTTGCCATCGCATCAAGTGCGACCTCTAAACGAAATTCAAAATTCAAAATTCTTTCTCCCCTTAAACGAAATTATATACATGCATTTAATTATCTTAATTTCCTAGAAGCAAGTTGGATAATGTGTAAACGTAGACATTATAATGCTCAGCAAATAGGCTATCTTTTACAGCGAGAAATGGTAAGCTTAAGAAATTAAATTACCATATCACTCAAGAAGTATAAAGTTCGAAAAGGGTAAGTAAATAGACACACAGATATATATCTTTGATGCACAGTCCACCCTAGTCGTCAATGGATGTACAGCACCAGGAACACTAAAAAGCCTAGCAAATTTTTGTAATGGGGCTGGAAAATTGAAAGTTTAAATAGTAAGTTAACAACTTAAAATACTAATTGGGATTGTAGCATAGCTTGTAATTTAATGATTAAATTGCGAAGCACTTGAAAAAAAAAATTAGAGGAAAAAAAAAGTCATTAGCAACCCCCATAGTTGTTGTTAAGATACATATATCTACAAATATAAACTTTATCTCACCTCAAAGAGAACGGCAAACAACCACACTCATTCGCCTAATGAAAAGAAATTGAACAAATTAGGATTCGGTTGGTATTAAATTGAAATGGGTTGAAAAGAAATTGAACAAATTAGGATTCGGTTGGTATTAAATTGAAATGTGTTGAATATTATATCACAATGATTAAAGAAAACACATAATTTATGTCTTTTGAGGGAAATCAAATTACCTAACTGAAATTTGTTGGAAATCAAAGGCTTTAACCTCATATTGGAAATCAAAGCAGAAATATGTAAAAGAGCGGTGACATACCTGTGGAACTCTCGAGCATGGAAAGGCTCTGGTTTCTTGCAAAACAACGGAAAATAAAATAAGAAACCTGCTAGAAAACTTGACAATAGATTGGTTAAAAAACACTTTGAAATACAGTAAATATTCTTTGTGCCACTTGGTGATGATAAACACTATTTGTTTCCGGATGAAATTAAGCATCCCCAAAAAAAAAATAAAAAAATAAAAACAAATCAACTTTACATAAAAGTTTATATTACCTGTCCCAAATCAACTGGAGAACTCATAATAGAATTTCTACCTTCCAATTTATCGTAACCTTTTCCATCTTAGAACATTCAAAATTTTCAACAGAACATGAATTCTATAATGTTGGTTAAATTATCTACACTACACACATGCAGATTAAGGCAAATACATAGCTAATTACGGAACAAAAAAACCAAAACTTGTGTTTAACATGCATAACATACTTTAACTTACCAATAATGAATTTACATGTCTGGCATGGTTGGGGGGTTTGGGACAGAGACAAAATAGTTGCCTCAGCTGCAATTTAATTCATATGCATCTGCTCAAGGATAACTCATATGTAAGAGAGGGTGTTCGTGCCCAAACGCACATACCTTTAAAAGCACAGATATATGTATGCATGTATAAATAAATGACAAAACAGAACCAACCATCCAGAAAAACAAAAGTATAAAATGGAAGTGCAAAATCAAGCAAACATTCAAACCATTATGCAATGTTGCCAGAAATAACTAAAAATATTCATTCAAGTTCAAACTTTTCCACAATAAAATACACATGCAAAAGGTCAAGAGTCGGAGACAGTGGGAGGGATAGAAGAGAGAGAAGTGATCTGAGAGATGAGAAGCGAGAAACGCAGAGGGGCTTCCCCGATCAGAATTTATCCCAATCAACAAATAAAACCCAGATTTCAAAAATTAAAATCATAAAAAATTCCAACAAATAAAAGAGAACCCAGAAACCAAACCCATCAATCTTTCCTAAAAAGGGAGAACTCACCAGGAAACCCAAGCTTTTTCTGGGTTTCAAAATTTTCCTCGAATCCGAACGGGATTCAGCTGCGAAAGGTAAGGCTAAGTTTCTGAGATGTTTTCATTTTTGAGATAGGGAAGGAGCCATTCACGATACTGTATGATTTCCATTTGAGGTTGAAGATTGGAACAATCCGGATGAATTTTGGTTTCGGGATTGATTTGGTTGAACGCAGGTTTTTGTTTTAATTTCAGGCGTCTGGAACAAATGAAAAAGCTTTGTTCTGGAAACAAATGGAAAAGCCACGATGACCAACACGTGTATATTAAGGGCAAATTAGTAAATTTACTGTGGAACCCAGGGAAACGAGCTAAAGATGGTAACAGCTGGAAGGGCAAATACGTCAAATCACTGTTAATGACAAAAAGTAATTCAGCAGAATCACAAGAAAGTACTGAACTATTAGGAAATATTGTTCATAATATAGAAAAACCAAAAAATAGTTCCTTAATTATCATAAATTGTGAAATAAAATTAGCAAAAAAACACAAAATACAAACATCAACCATGATAGATACATGAAGTACAAAGAGTGTGATAAGAGACGAGTTAGTTCCGGAAAAATATAGATAAAAATTAGCAAAACCAGTTAAAATAACACAGTTTGATAAACCAGTTTATTTAACATATTGCATTAATAATGAGTCTATTAAAGTAGAAAAACAACAATTTAATTTACCATTAACATTTGTTTCACTAGTAGGATCATACCCATTCAGTTTAGGTTTAAACTTTTTGAAAAGTTTGCAAAGTTTTTTATTTATGAATCCTAACATAACATTTTTTAAGAAAGGTATTACAATAACTAACCAAAGTAATACTGTAGAAGCATACAAAAGCATAAGTATATAAAAGTCTAATGGCCAAACTAGTTATTATTTAGAAAACTCAAAAGAAAATGATGAGCATAATAACATAGAAGAGTTTGATGAAAAAATATTTGAACATGAATATCTAATTTTAGAAGAAGGAACCGGTATAGAAATATTATAGTCAGATAAACCAAAGAGTTTAGAAGAGTGATTACAATTAGCAGAACAAACTAGAATCATATGAGAAGACCCATAATTGCATTGGTGTTAAAATAAAATATTAGCAAAAATAGATATAATTAACCTAGATTTAACCATTAAGACAGCTAATATACCTTGTAGTTTATTAGATAAACAAGAGTTTTAACAGCAAATAAAAGAGTTGTTAAATTTAAAAGTAATTAGACCTTCAAAGTCTAAACATAAATCAGCAACATTTATCGTAAGAAACATTCAGAACTAAAGAGATAAAATGTTAGAATAGTTTATAACTACAAGAGGTTAAATGATAATATATATGAATATAGTTATGAGTTACCAAATAAGGATGAACTTATAAATAAGATTCAAGAGAGTAAATATTTTAGTAAATTTGATTGTAAATCAGATTTTTGGCAAATAAGATTAGCAGAAGAATCAATTAAGTGGACAACTTTTACTTGTCCATAATGACATTTTCAGTGGTTGGTTATGCCATTTGAACTTAAAAAATGCTCCATCGATCTTTCAAAGAAAGATAGATCAAATTTTCGAGAAATATGATAATTTTGTAATGTTTATGTAGATGATATTTTAGTACATAGTAAAAATAGAAATGAACATAGCAAGCACTTAGAGATAATTTTACAAGAATTTATCAATAATGAAATTGTGATTAGCAGAAATAAAATAGCATTAGAAATGTAAGATATAAAATTTTTAAGAATGTATATTAAGTCAAGTACAATACAATTACAAGATCATATAGCTAAAAAGGTCTTAGATTTTCCAAATAAGATAAAAAAACAATTACAAGCATTTTTAGGATTGTTAAATTATGCAAGAAATTTTATCCCTCATTTAGGAAGAAAAATAGCAGTATTACATAGTAAAACTAGCAAAACAGGATACAAGTATTTTAATAGTGAAGACATTAAATTAGTCCAAAATATAAAGGAATAAATTACTAAACTTAAGCCATTAACATTACCATTAGATGATAGTTATAAAATAGTCGAAAAAGTTTCTTCATCATTAAGATGGACAAGTATACTGTACCAGAAAAAACATAAGGAGTCACCAAAGTCTGATGAAAAAATTTGTAGATATTCATTAGGAAAATTTAGTGATGTACAATCAAGGTTACAAGCAACAGAGTTAGAAATTTTAGGAATAAATAACTCGCTTGAAACATTTTTTTAATTTTTATATAATAAAATATTTACAATTAGAACTGTTAAAATACAGTTTCTCATTATAATAAGATATATGATAATAAATAGGCAGCCGCAGAATCAGCCAAGCCATATAAAAGTAGGCTCCCTGCCCACCTCCATACTTAAATCGCCGCCTTCGTCTACGTCTGTCTCTCTCACTCAGCTGCGACTTTTAGATTCTCTCTCTATCGCCACTCGCCGCCTCGAAGCCGCAATGGTAACTCTCTCTCTCTCTCTCTCTTCTCTTCTCTCTCTGGTATTAGCTGGTGATCGATGATTTGGTTCGAATTTGAATTTGTTCCTGTAGGCTTTGTCGAACCAACAGACTGTTGATTATCCAAGCTTCAAGCTCGTCATCGTCGGCGATGGAGGCACTGGTAATTTGCAGTTTCCTTGTTCTGTTTCTTATGTTCTGAGTTGATGTTTTCATCGACTGTGTTGGCATGATTATTGCAACTTTAAAATTAGGGTTTTGATAAGATTTTGGATTTGGGGTATTGTTGGCACAATTATAACACACTCCCTCCCTAAGAAGAATTTGATTCAATTGTTCGGATATTTACAATTTTGACTAAAATATTTAGTAAATTGAAAAGGCACAATATTTGGTTTGATATGTGATACTATCTAATTAAATTGATATTGATGGAAATAAACAATCTTCTTAGGCCTTCTCCAACCCTGGGCTAAAACCCAAATTTCCCCTTCCCCCACCCCAAAACCCAACCCAACCCAATCCAAGTGCTAAATAAAACCTAAAACCTAAAACTCACAAGAGGGCCAAATACCGGCTATTTTTTATGCCAGAAATCAAAATGGGGCCCACCGGTATGAGTGAAAAGTGGGTTGTGAAGCCCATATGCCGTCGCCCACTTGCCCAACGCGCAGCACGCGCCAGGGCTGATCCCAGCGAGACCCCACCCACGTGGGCGTGTCAAGCCAAATTCAAATCGGTCAGGTAGCCTAACGGCTACTTTTCTGATCCAACGACCAGATTTATTGAATCCAACGGTTTAGATCAAATATAACGGTAAAAAATAAAATCTAGTGGCCCAAATTTAAATCCGACGGCTAAAATAATTATAAAAAAACTATTGAAGGTTTCATTGTCATGTGTGTTGGTTTGTGTTTCATGCATTTCATGTGTTTTGTATGTATGTTTGTATGTTTTTCGTGTGTGTCATGTGTTTCACAGGTGTTACGTGTGTGCTTCATCTTTATCATGTGTTTTGTATGTGCTTCACATGTGTTTTGTATGTGTTTCATATGTGTTTCACATGTGTTCTATGTGTTTTGTGTGTTTCATGTATTTTGTGTTTATACATCTCTATCATGATTTTCATATTCTTCCATAGTGTTTCGTGAGTTTATGTATCGATTTAGTGATTTTTCAATATTTATCGGAATTTAAATATTTTTAGATTATAATGTTCATAAAATTAATTTATGATAGTCTACATTTTAAGAAAAAAAAGTATCCCAAATTCATTCTTTAATAATATAGTGCTAAAATTTTAGGTCTGAAGAGTTGGAGCAGAAAAGCTGTTTCTGGGCTAAAAATTTTAGGTTTTAGGCCAAGGTTGGAGATGGTCTTAGAGGGAAATGATTTACATCTATTTGTTTGTAAATGTGATTATATTCCTGGAATTTTTCTTTTGATAAAACTAGTGATAAGAGCAAAGAAATTCGAAGCTTAACACCGATTAATTTGGAGAGACAATGCCTTGGAGAGAAGAAACAATTTTAACTGTTCTCCAAGTTATAGTGTTGTGTGGTGATTTGGATTTGAACTGAATGGTGATGAGTTGTGCAGGAAAAACCACTTTCGTGAAGAGGCATCTCACTGGTGAATTCGAGAAGAAATATGAGCATAAGAGACTTTTCTGACATTTCCGTCCATTGCGCCGTGTTGTTAGTTTATTGTTATAATTAGTTTGACCTTGATATGTTTGCTTATACTTAACATTCATTTTCTGTTACTTTTCTATGCAAACAGCCACCATTGGTGTGGAGGTTCATCCACTGGACTTCTTCACAAATTGTGGAAGGATCCGCTTTTACTTCTGGGACACTGCTGGGCAAGAGAAGTTTGGCGCTCTTCGAGATGGTCGCTAGTAAGTGAATATTTTCCTGTTGCTTTTGTTCTTGATATTTCATATCCACATTAAAAATCATTTGATACCTCACTGATTTTGTGTATATTTAATGTCTCCCAAAGCATTTTACAGTATATCTTATAACTTCTTATATATGTGATTACCTATCTGAGTTATCTGCCCTTTCACTGTGCTGCTTAGTTGATGGTCTCACCTAAAATTTTCCGTTGAAATATGCAGCATTCATGGGCAATGTGCAACTACAACTTAGAAACCCTCCTCTACTTGGCAAGGAAGCTTGCAGGGTAATTACAAACATTCCCTTTTTTATTTGGTTGCTATAGCGTATCGATAATAGTAATTGAGGTTAACGCTGCTGTTGTTACTTTAGTGACGCAAATCTTCATTTCGTCGAGTCTCCGACCCTTGCTCCTCCAGAAGTGCACTTTGACATGGCTGCCTAACAATAGTAAGTATTTTCTCTATGTTAATAAACTTGACTCTTCTTTGATGTTAACATCGTGGATTCAGCATGAAGCTGAAAATTGTCTCATCTCGATTATTATTGCTTCTTGCAGGCATGAAGCTGAGCTTGCGGCAACAGCTGCCCAACCTCTTCCTGATGACGATGACGAGGCATTTGAATGGACGGGGAGATGATGCATTTCAATATACCGTGGCATTTTTCTTCTAGGACATGGCTTTCATTCATTCTGTCAAGATTTGATTTTCAAAGTGTCATGTGTTAGAACAAAGGGCCTCTTTTAGTCAGATTCAACTACAGCTACTATTAGGTATTGTTTATCATTGGTTGTGCAATTACATGTCTAATTGTGCCCTTTTTTTTTTTTGTAAGGTGATCTATCATTGGTTGTGCAATTACATGTCTAATTGTCCCCTTTTTTTTTTTGTAAGGTGATCTTTCAATGGTAATTTCAAGTCGTAATTCTAGCCTATCTAAAGGTGATGGAGGAACATATAAGCATGTCAGCTCTTTGGAATGCTCTTCTGATGAATCTTTGCAGGGTAAGCAGAGTATGCAGAAATTTTTTGTTTGTTTTGAAATTTATTTTTTTCAATGTTTTTAGGTTTAATTTGTATCTGTCTTTGCAGGGTAAGCAGAGTATGCAGAAATTTTTTTGTTTGTTTTGAAATTTATTTTTTTCAATGTTTTTAGGTTTAATTTGTATCTGTTTTGGAATGATGTTTAACTTTATTGAACATATTAGGATTCGGTATTATTGAGTTGTTTGAATATGAAGAATCTCTTGACATAATTGGTTAGTATTTTTATTTGTTTTCTGTATTAGCATTTTTTTTTGGTAATGTGAGCTTCTATTAAGTTTTTTGTTCCATTCAACTCTAAATAAAATTAAATGTCCGAGATCAGGGAAGTTAATTGCTGACTTAAAACCTGATAATGTTTTATTGCTTGATGATACTTAGGAAGTCACTGATTTTGGTTTAGGTGAGTTTTGTGGTTTTATATGTTTTGTCATAATGCATGTGAGAAATCTTTTGTTTTTGTTGAAATGGAAGAAATTTCTATTGAAAACTTTTCTATGCAAAAGTTCATTTTTGTTTTTCGTAGTCTTTTGCATAAGTGAACAATTTGGTAAAGATAATGAAAAACGTAACTGAACTTTTTCATAGAAAAGTCTTCAAAAGAAATTTCTTCTATTTCAACAAAGACAAAAGATTTCTCACATGCATTATTCTAAAACATATAAAACCACAAAACTCACCTAAACCAAAATCAGCGACTTTTCAAGTATCATCAAGCAGTAAAACATTGTCAGGTTTTAAGTCAGCAATTAACTTCCCTGACCTCGGACATTTAATTTTATTTAGACCTGAATGGAACACAAAACTTAATAGAAACTCACATTACCATGCTAATACAGAAAACAAATAAAAATACTAACCAATTATGTCAACTGATTCTTCAGATTCAAACAACTCAATAATTCTGAATCCTAACATGTTCAATAAAGTTAAACATCATTCCAAAACAGATACAAATTAAACCTAAAACACTGAAGGAAAAAAAATTTCAAAACAAACAAAAGATTTTATGTTTACCTTATAAGATTTATCAAAAGATCTGCCATGCTTATATTTTTCCTCCATCACCTTCAGATAGGCTAGAATTATGACTCGAAATTCCCATTGAAAGATCACCTTACAAAGAGCTGCCATGCTTATATTTTCCTCCATCACCTTCAATTACTATTAGGTATTGTTTATCAGATAGGCTAGAACACATGACCTCTTTAAGTCAGATTCAACACAGCGCCTATTTCAGAGCTTAGGAACAGAAATTTGAAAAATTATACTTTTGAAACACAGGGCCTCTTTTAGTTGTTTCATTTTTTTCTGTAATTTTTTAACAATTTTTATTAAGTAATTAATATGGACCTTTGGATTTTAGAAAGTTTGAAATCCAACAGCCCAAAATGGACACGTGGCCAACGGTAAGATTTCTGACATTTTTTAATGTTTTTTGGCCTAAAAATCTGGACCGTTGATCAGGAAATCAAACGGTCCAGATTTTGACACATCACTAGCCGTTAGATTTCATATTCAATTTTTTTTTACTGTTGGAAATCCAAACGATCCAGAAAATTAGCCGTTCGAAATCCAACGCCATTGCCGAGCCACGTAGCCAAATTCTGGCATCCTAGTTAGGGCGCTTGCAGCGCGGGCCTCACATCTGCGAGATGTTGGGAACGCAAGATCACGCGCGCGTGTTTCCCATGTGCCAGCTGCAAAAAAAAACACTCGACCCGTGGTTGACGTCAGATGGGCTAGTTCCTCACTCGGTCCATTCTTGCCCGGCCTAGAAGCTAGAGTGAACTTTGGGCCAACATATTTGGTGGGGTGGAGTGGATTTTTGGGGGGCTAGGCTATTTTAAGGACTTTCAGCTAGCCTATTTGGATGGGTGGACTTGCTATAATGAAAGTAAGATTTCTTCCGGAAGAAGATACTTGAGATTCCTTAAATAGCTTTAAAATATTAATTTTTTGAACTAACATGAATTAATGACTTATCATCTAAATAAAAGTTTAAGGTGATGAAAAATGGATAAAGTTCTAAGAAAGCAAAATGAAGCATTTCTCTACATTATTACAAGCAAATACTCACGGACGTTTTATTCATAACCAAAACATTATATGACTTAAAATTGAAATATTATTGCTTCAATTATCTCTTTTGAACAAAAAAATATCTAAATTTGTATCTTTTAAGAAATATTTAGAGCATCTCCAAAAAAGATGTCAAATATAATATATCAAAATTTTATTTGATGGCTGATGTGGCAAATTGAATATAAGTACTAAATCCTCTTCTTTGTCGATAGATGTGTCAGATATTTATTTTATTAGGCCTAGTGTTGCATTAACTATTAAAAAATAATCAAAATTAGTTTTAGTTTTTATTCTATTGGATGTTAATGGGATCTATGCATTAAAAAATTAAATTAAATTAATTGACTCCTTTGTTTGCTGTCAAAAAGACAGCTAGAAAGTAAGGAGTCAAATGACTCACATGTCATATTATATATGACATATCCATTGGAAAACACTTGAATGTCTTTTAATTATATTTGGCATATTTGACATTTCTTTTGGAGATAATTTGAGATGTATCTAAATATGGTACATAATAAGGGAATTGGATCCTCTCTGAGGCAAAGCCTCGAGATTCTCTGATTGGATAACATAGATCATTAGATTTTGATCAAACAGCTACAAACAGAAGGTTCCTTTAAAAGTTATAATAATTATAGCTGTTAGATTTGATCCAACGGTCCGTGTTAGTCGATCAGAAGAATTCTGAGACTTTGCCTTGGAAAGGATCCAATTCCCATAATAAGTACGTAGGCCAAGCCTTCGAGGTGACTTGAAGCCGCCTTCGAGCTGACTTGAAGCTGCCTTTTCGAGAAGCACATCCAATCGTCGATATTGGCTCCCAAGTATATGTCAAAAATGCCTCTGAGAGAAGAAAAATCTTCATTTAGCTTCATGTGTATTTTAATTTTTAGAGGAAATGTTTTCTTTACACCTAAATTTAGCCTCTCGACCCTCTTATTTTCTAAAGATCTAATTTACCACAAACATTTTTCTGAACAACTAAAATAATTTATTAAACTTGTGAGAATTAATTTATAAATTATGAAGACTTTCACCTATATTTCTCTTCCTTTGTGTCACCCTCTTTTCACATATCAAACCTATGAAGACTTTCAGATAATCAAAGGAAGTCACCATTAGATAAGCAAAAGGTTCTGATGAATTGAAATGAGTTTTTTGTTTATGTTTGGAAATTTTCTTGATGGAGAAGATGATTGGGTTACAACGGGAGAAATAAAATCAGGGTTTCAGGGTATGATGATTTGTTCGCAAAGAGAGGAGAGAGTGTTGCTGCTCGAAATAAAAGTTGATGTTCTTGGGCGACGCGAGCGTGACACAAGCGTTGGGATGGTGGTTAGCTGTTGGGGTGATAAGTTATGAAGTAATTAAAGATATATGAAATGAATTATATCGTTGGAAAGAAAAAAAAACACGTTAGAAGACTTCGTTAGATTTTATTTTCTTTGATTGAGCCAAAATTCAATTGTGATATAGAATGTACTAGCAACGGTGCCAGCGCGATGCTGCGGGTTTTAAAACTGTATAAAATATGCAGAAAGTTCTCAATACATACAATATGCAATACTATTTACATGTAGAAATCTATTTACAACCACGGTTTGGCGGTTCTATTGCAATTGTTCTAATATTTACATCTTTTACAAATTAAACTCCTAACTGTCCTTAACAGTACAAATTTTTTTGTATGTAATTTTATTTACATACAAAAAATAATATTTGATGTGTATATACATACTATTTACACACAAAAATTTGGTAGATTGTCCCTATTGATATTCTCATGAAATATGCAAATAATCAGCCTATTTTACCCAATCATAACAAACAGTGTAGTTGCAATTGACTTTAAGTCATCAATAGAACAAAATACCTGAAGTCGAAGATAAACCTGATGAATGTAGAAATCTTCAAGCCCTAAACAGAGTGGCCCTGCTTTTTGCAACAAAACAATCCTTTTATTACAAAAAATTACAGGAAAACCTTTCAGATGTGGAAACAAAATTAAGTCAAATGATTAGGGTACCATAATTTTCCTTGACCATGCACAAATAAATTTAAATTAAAAAAGAAAAAAAGAAAAGATAAAAAAGCAATCTCAAATACACAGATTGAAAACTCATTAAACAATTTATTAAGCATATATAGGTTCACCCAACAGATGATCTTATTTAATCACACCATTTTAATTTATCAAATTGATTATTTAATACTGTCATGCTAAACAATTGTTCTGATAATACCCTCTCATCCCAATACGATAAACAAAAAATTCTTCAATCTCTTGCATGTCCATTTCAGTTCTTAAAACCAAAAGAAAATATTAAAGTTTCTTTCTTACCGAAATCCACCAATTTGAATCAAATCCACAAAAGAAGCATGCATGTTCTTTCCTTGAATTATACATATATTTGAGAAGATTCAAATAAAGACTAAAATTCAAAATTCTTTCTCCCTTTAAACGAAATTATATACATGCATTTAATTATCTTAATTTCCTAGAAGCAAGTTGGATAATGTGTAAACATAGACATTATAATGCTCAGCAATAGGCTATCTTTTACAGCGAGAAACTATTTAAGCTTAAGAAATTAAATTACCATATCACTCGAGAAGTATAAAGTTCGAAAAGGGTAAGTAAATAGACACACAAAGATATATATCTTTGATGCACAGTCCACCCTGGTCGTCAATGGATGTACAGCACCAGGAACACTAAAAAGCCTAGCAAATTTTCGTAATGGGGCTGGAAAATTGAAAGTTTAAATAGTAAGTTAACAACTTAAAATACTAATTGGGATTGTAGCATAGCTTGTAATTTAATGATTAAATTCTTGCGAAGCACTTGAAAAAAAAAATTAGAGGAAAAAAAAAGTCATTAGCAACCCCCATGGTTGTTGTTAGGGTAAATTACACAGTAACCCCTCAGGTTTTGAGGTCTATTACAACCCCACGTAACAACTTTAAAACATTTCACTTTCATACCTCAAATACTATTTTATTTCAATATAATACATCCGTTAGATTTTCCATCCATTAATCCGTTAAATGCTGACGTGGCTGCCACATTTGTGCCATGTGGCTGCCAAATGTCTGCCACGTGGCAAAAAAAAATTAATTTTTTATTTTTTTTAAAAAAACCTAAATTTTCTCAAAAAAAAAAAAAATTGAAACCCACATCTGCAAGAAGAAGAAGAGGGAGGAAGAAGGAAAAAGAAAAAAAAATTGTCCCTTCCCCCCCCCCGATGACCCAGAAAAAGAAGAAGAGGAGGCAGGAAGAAAAGAAAAATAAAATAAATTGAAATGAAACCCACATCTGCGACGAGAAGAAGAAGGAGAAAAAGAAGAAGAGGGAAGAGGGTCGCCGGGCCAGGAGGGGAGGATCGGAGGTGGGTTGCTGGGCCGAGGGGGGTGTGACGAGAAGAAGAAGGAGAAAAAGAAGAAGAGGGAGGAGGGTCGCCGGGCCGGGAGGGGGGACCGGAGGTGTGTCGCTGGGGGGACAGGAGGAGGGTCGCTGGTGGGGGGGGGGGACAAATTTTATTTTATTTTGTTCTTTTCTTCCCCCCCCTTTCTTCTGGGTCGCTGGGTGGGAGGGGGGAGGGACAAATTTTTTTTTTCTTTTCTTGGGGGGGGGGACAATTTTTTTTTTATTTTGTTCTTTTCTTCCTCCCTTCTTCTTCTTCTTCTTCTTCTTGGTCGCTGGGTGGGAGGGGAGGGACAAATTTTTTTTTTCTTTTCTTTTCTTCCTCCCTCTTCCTCTTCTTCTTCTTCTTCTGGGTCGTTGGGTGGGAGGGGGGAGGGACAAATTTTTTTTTTCTTCTTCTTCTTCCTCCTCTTCTTCTGTGTCACTAGGGTTTTGGGGGGGGGGGGACAATTTTTTTTTCTTTTCTTCCTTCTTTCTTCTTCAGGGTCGCTTGGGGGGGGGGGACAATTTTTTTTTCTTTTTCTTTCTTCCTCCCTATTCTTCTTCTTCTTGTAGATGTGGGTTTCTTTTTTTTTTTTTTTTTTTTTTTAGAAAATTCAGGTTTAAAAAAAAATATATATATATATATATTTTTTATTTGCCACGTGGCAGACATTTGGCAACCACGTGGCATATATGTAGCAGGCACGTTAGCATTTAACAGATCAACTGATGAAAAATGTAACGGATATATTATTTTGAAATAAAATAGTACTTAAGGTATGAAAGTAAAATGTTCTAAAGATGTTGTAAAGAATTGAAATGGACCCCAAACTTGAGGTATGAAAGTGTAATTTATCCTTGTTGTTAAGATACATATATCTACAAATATAAACTTTATCTCACCTCAAAGAGAACGGCAAACAACCACACTCATTCGCCTAATGAAAAGAAATTGAACAAATTAGGATTCGGTTGGTATTAAATTGAAATGGGTTGAATATTATATCACAATGATTAAAGAAAACACATAATTTATGTCTTTTGAGGGAAATCAAATTACCTAACTGAAATTTGTTGGAAATCAAAGGCTTTAACCTCATATTGGAAATCAAAGCAGAAATATGTAAAAGAGCGGTGACATACCTGTGGAACTCTCGAGCATGGAAAGGCTCTGGTTTCTTGCAAAACAACGGAAAATAAAATAAGAAACCTGCTAGAAAACTTGACAATAGATTGGTTAAAAAACACTGAAATACAGTAAATACTCTTTGTACCACTTGGTGATGATAAACACTATTTGTTTCCGGATGAAATTAAGCATCCCAAAAAAATAAAAAATAAAATAAAAACAAATCAACTGGAGAACTCATAATAGAATTTCTACCTTCCAATTTATCGTAACCTTTTCCATCTTAGAACATTCAAAATTTTCAACAGAACATGAATTCTATAATGTTGGTTAAATTATCTACACTACACACATGCAGATTAAGGCAAATACATAGCTAATTACGGAACAAAAAAACCAAAACTTGTGTTTAACATGCATAACATACTTTAACTTACCAATAATGAATTTACATGTCTGGCATGGTTGGGGGGTTTGGGACAGAGACAAAATAGTTGCCTCGGCTGCAATTTAATTCATATGCATCGGCTCAAGGATAACTCATATGTAAGAGAGGGTGTTCGTGCCCAAACGCACATACCTTTAAAAGCACAGATATATGTATGCATGTATAAATATATGACAAAACAGAACCAACCATTCAGAAAACGAACAAAAGTATAAAATGGAAGTGCAAAATCAAGCAAACATTCAAACCATTATGCAATGTTGCCAGAAATAACTAAAAATATTCATTCAAGTTCAAACTTTTCCACAATAAAATACACATGCAAAAGGTCAAGAGTCGGAGACAGTGGGAGGGATAGAAGAGAGAGAAGTGATCTGAGAGATGAGAAGCGAGAAACGCAGAGGGGCTTCCCCGATCAGAATTTATCCCAATCAACAAATAAAACCCAGATTTCAAAAATTAAAATCATAAAAAATTCCAACAAATAAAAGAGAACCCAGAAACCAAACCCATCAATCTTTCCTAAAAAGGGAGAACTCACCAGGAAACCCAAATTATCCCTAGCATCAGTAGATTAACAATGAAAAAATGAAAATTTGTGTACGTTTACATTTAGTATAACATGAACATGCACGTGCATAGTAAATACTAAGCAGAAAGTATTACTAGTATATTAGATTCAACACAACATAGAGAACAATTCAACGACTATACGTGTAACTCTATAAACTCCTTACCACATCAATCTTGAGAGGTCCAATAAGTCTAAAAGCCTACAAAACTTATCCATATTCAGCTCCAATCGCCTGAAAACACCAAAAAACTGAGGAGTAAATATAAATTCATCAAAATTCCTTACTCAAGGATAAGCTAAAAATGGAAAAGATTCGCATCCCAGAAACTCTTTGGTAAGATCCAAGAAATTCTATCACAGCTGAAATTTTCATTCTTAGATTGCATGGACAGCCTTTTTTGTTTTGGTAAGATCCTAGAAATTCTATAGCGGCTGTAAATTTTCATTTTGAACCTTAACTCATGCCGATTTAAATGTGACATTCATGCCCAATCTGCATCATGTGTCTATGGACAATTAGTTGTAATGCTAAAACTCAAATTCTGTCCCAAGTATACAAAGGTCACAAACATATATATACACCTCGAACTGAAATTTTCACCAAGTGATCTACCCTAGTAGCATTAATGTAAACCTTCATTCTGCACTTCAACCGCCTCATTGTTTCTTCCTGCAAGTTTTCAAACAAATCTGTAAATAGAACGAAAGAGAAATAATAGATTATAATGGCAACAATTTAAAAAAAAATTAAATAAATTTCTGTACCTTTCTTTTTCTCATCCTAATAAGTTCTCTCAGCCTAGGCAAAAGAAGAAAAAAAATCAATGAATTTAGATATGAAGAAATTTATACTGTAAAGAATGCAAACGTAGACTTGAAATGATAACTCTATTGGTAGAATGAAAATGATGTCTACTTTAAATCACATCCTTTCCCTAATAACATCTTACTTATCTTTTTAAAGAAATGTAAACAGACATCTTAGAATGAGTTGGAACTTGTTGGTACCATATATTGGGTCTCGTCTTTAGGCCTCATCTCTAAACCCATGACAAATGTAAAAGGGGAGGGAGCCCTTATTCTATAAAAGGGACTCTCCCTCACCCTCATTAAGGACACATTCAATCTCACCTTCACTAAGAGAAGGACTCACATTCAGAGCCTCACATCCAAAGGGTCTCAGATCCATCCCCCACAATATAGAGGGCAATACCCTCTTAGCCAAATAGAGAGAAAATGGCAAGGGTTACATCCACAGAGAGCTCCCTTGCCGATCTATTGTAATCAATACATACATACATAATCAACATCAGTGTGGACGTAGCTCAAACATTGGGGTGAACCACGATAATCTTTGTGTTCTTGGGCGTTTGTGTGATTCACGGTCGGATTTACGTTGGTCCAAAATCCTCTGGATTTTGTGCATCAACATTTGGCGCCTTCTGTAGGAATCGACACAAAAAGCTATGTCGGTTCTCTCTCAATTTTTCATTTCACCACCGTGAAACCTTCACAACCTCACCACTGTCCACTTGGATTTGCAAAACCCAAGAAACGACCAACTCTTCTCTGCTCATCTTTCTCGCTCCACCACCGTCTGCGTCGAGCACGGCCCCTGTACCTCCTCAACCATATTGCACTGACCCTACAGGTACCCTGACGATGAAGAGTCATCGACCTAGTCCAAATACCAAAGTGAAGAAAATCCAGAAAGCAACAAGATTTGAATGCAAGTGCAACTCGGGTAAGTCAGTGACCAATCAAGAGGACCCTGTCAAGTCCGAGTTCGAGGGTGGCGGTAGAAAAGAAGTGGGTGGGCAGAGAGTATATCTCTCCCCGCGAGCTGGAACCTTCTCCCTCCTTCCTTCAATTTTCTCTCGTTGTCTCTCACTTTCCCACCAAGCCAAAACCAGAAGAAAACTAGAAACAGTTGGTTGCACGATCTTTGAAGCAAAATCCTTCACACCCAAAAAAGCAAAGAGCAAGAAGGAGTAGACCACACACACACTCTCTCTCTGGAAGCATCCATGGCCGACCGTCACCAAAACCCAACACAAACCCAACAGTAACAGTCGTAGAGAGCTCCGAGACCCAGCCCTAACAACCCCACAAATTCCTCAATATTCCTACGTAAACTCCAAGGCCATGCACCCAACTCCACCCAGCTCGTCAGCTTTCTCACCCTCCTCGTCTTCGGCGTCATTCTCCTCCTCCTCACCGGTCTTACCGTCACCGCCACCGTCCTCGGCCTAGTCATCTGCACCCCTATCATCATCATCTCCAGTCCCATATGGGTCCCCCTCGGCGCTATCCTCGTTCTCACGGTTGGCTTCTTCGTGTTCATGTGCGGGTTTGGCGCCGCGACCGTGGCTGGTTTGTCTTGGATGTATAGGTATTTCAAGGGGATGCACTCGCCCGGTTCGGACCGGGTTGACTACGCCAGGAGCTGAATTTACGATATGGCGAGCCATGTTGTTGATGCCTAAACCTAATCTGGGTTGGAATCGATCATGATGTTAGAAAAAAAGAAAAAAGGGAGGTAAAGAATAGAAAAAGAAAAAGGGAGGAAAAGAATAGAAAAAGAAAAATGATGTCTGGAGATGGAGAAAAGCCGAGACAGGAAGTAGAAAGCATGGTTGTGGAAAGCATGGCTGCCCACTCCGTCTAAAAAGATAAGTTTTCTTATAATAATTCTATTATTAATCCTATTATTATTCCGTCTGCCATCTGCCGAAAGAAAAAATAAAATAAAATAAAATAAGTTTTACTTTTCCTTTTCAGCAGACATCATTATGTTTTCATAATTTATTTAATATGTTATTGATATATGTGTTATGATGAAAGTAACCTTTATTATTTAAACGTTATGATAAAACTTTGTCTAGAGTATTATTCATCACCTAGTGACATATATTTAACCCAAGTACTTGTACAATATTTATTCATGGCCTAGAATATTGTGACTGTCATTAAATTATGTCACTTATACAACATGTGATTTACCACATGACTGAATAAATTATTTATTTATAGGAGGCACATGGTACAATATTCTGCCTTGACAAACTTTGTCAATTTGATTTATTCATTATACGGTCATACTTATACTGTCATTTATTGTCAGGAATTATTGAGCAACTAAATCCACTGATCGACATTGTTGCTGATTAAAGAAGCTTACCAACACTATTGATCAACTTATGGATCATTGAGCCACATGCTTATGGTGACAAATATTTAGTCCAAACAATGATCTCTTGTCTAACCTGACAAGCGAACCCGAGTCATGTCGAGAATCAACTCATAATGAGTGCATGTCGACATAAAGTAGATGCTTGCAATGAGGAATACCACGAGTCGAGCCGCCTCGCAGTGAGCATAGCCTCTAGCCGAGCAGCCTCGCAACGAGCATCGCCTCCAGCCGAGCAGTCTCGTAACGTGTGATACCTCTAGCCGAGTATTGCTTTATGTTGAGCATTGCCTTGTGTTGAGTACTGGTTCAAGACATCTAGCTACCAACGTCATCACCGTCCTCGAAAATAAGTGACTGGGAAACTTGTTAAAACATAACACCAATATTAGGTAAATGCTAAGGGGTCATTCAATGACCATTTTATTTTTGTGTTATATTGTTTTGATTCAGGTGGTACATGAGTTGGGTTTATAACATCGTGAAATAGTTCTATTCCTATATTTTCCCTTATTGAAGGGAGAACTGCAAAGAGCCAACCCTAGTACGAGATGACTGAGTTGGGCCAACCTATAGTGTAGATATAGGAGAAATACATAAGAGAAATGAAGGATATAGAAGAATAGAGGAAGGATGGTAGCAAAGATGTAGAAGTGTACAAGGAAAAGCATACCAAATGAAAACTAAAAACTAAAAACTAGTCGTTTTCACTTTCAAGATTTTGTTTTTATCCTTCACATTCTATTTTAGTTCTTCCTATCACATTTTTTCATCCCTTCATTCATATACTATTTTCATATTTCCAACACAAAAGTGAACTTAAAATTAAAAAAAAAAATAACTATCAAATGAGTTATGAGATTAATTGTCATATGATTGATTTCTAAGTATTCATGTTTGTAAGACTCCCAAAACAGGAATGACCAGAATCAGCCTTCACTTACGTGGGTGATCCTATAGCCCTCCTCTTATTGCTAATAGATCATGGGCTTAGAAAAAGGGGGTGTGCTATCCACACACTTTTTTTTACTTTTTACACATCTTTTGTTAATTTCTATTATTTGATTCGAAGACCGAAAATTAAAAAGATGTATAAATAAAAATAAATAAATAAATAAAGGTGTGAATATGACACCCATAAAAAAAAAGTACTCTTCTCCTTGGAGTCCAGAATTTATGCGACCATATATTGGGGACTATATAATAAAGAATGATGACAGTGATGGGGGATCGAAAATGAGGTTAGTGACGATGGATGAGACACACAATTTAATTTTTAGGCAAAGTCAAAGGCAATTAAGTATTGTTCATACTATCTTATTAGCCAAGTAATTAAGTTCAGCTTATAAAAAATCCTTTAGACTATTTTGCCCATGGTATTTATTTACCGAGGGAAGGGGAGTCATCACACTAATAAGTGCTACTCGTTTTTCTTATTTTCTTTTAGGTGGGGAGGGGGAGAGGGGGGGGGGAATTCATCAACAACTCGTTTTCCCATTCTTGGTAAGCTTGATTCTGTTACTGCGTCTTTATTTGGAATCTTTCATGCATCCATACATTGTAATAGGGCATTATTTGATGGACAAATTCATGATGCATTTGCATTAGATTACTATTATTCATATTAGATTTGTAGCTCCAATAATTAAGAGTATTTACTCATCTATCTAAAATCTTTTATACATGTTCAACAAAACGCACATCGTACAATTTCCAAATTCCAGAAGCTCTTTGGAAGTGACCAAATTCCATGTTCAATGAAACGAAATCTCTTCCCTTGTCTTCCCAAAAAGTTAAGCAAATCATTAATGTTGAGATAACGTGTATAGACAATAGGAAGTGATCCTAAAAAAGACTTGCACGAAAGCAACCCTAAGATACGAATTCCATTAATATATGTCTTGAAACGGCATCATGTTCTGACTTTTTTGAAACTTTTAATCCTCCCACTTAAGAAGCGACTTGGGTTCAGAATTTATTTTCTTATTGTTGAAGTGGTAATCTATCTTGCAAAATAACGGAGAGTTGGATGGAGACCTCAATCATAAAATACAAGTTGGACGGATGAAGTAAAAGAGTGCATCAGACGTGTTGTGTGACCGTTATATGCCACTAAAGCTCAAGGAAAATTTTTATAGGACAACAATAAGGGCATCAATGTTTTATGGCACAGAATGTTGGGTGATGAAGCATCAACAGTACATAAAATGGGTGTAGCGGAGATGAGAATGCTTCGTTGGATGTGCAGGCACATGAGAAAGGATAAGATTAGGAATGATGATATTCGAGTTAAAGTAGGAGTAGCCAAAATTGAAGGAAAGATGAGAGAAAATCTGTTACGCTGGTTTGGACATGTGAAACGAATGCCTACTGACGCTTTGGTTAGAAGATGCGATCACGGGACAGAGGTTCAGGACCGAAGGGGTAGAGGAAGACCTAGGAAGACTTTGGAAGAGACTCTAAGAAAAGACTTAAGAGTACTTTGATCTAATGGAAGGTGTGACATAGAACCGATCACAATGATATTCTAGGATTCATACAACCTACCCCACTTAGTGGGAAAATACTTTGTTGTTGTTATTATTTTGTTGAAGTGGTAATGCTATTACTAGTTAAAA